TTCTATACTGTCTCTTTTCCCCCTGTTGCAATAGTTAACAAAATCTACTTTCATCACTTTAACTTCTGCCCAGTTCTGATTTTCTGCACCATCTCTGCCCAGAGCTTGGTCAGCCTTCCATTCTCACTCCTGTTCTTCAGACCCTTCCAGGGAGTGGCCGTCAAGTCTTTTCTAGAACTTGGGTGACACCTAGTGGTCACGTAGATGATGATGATGTAAGTAGTTCAGTTGGGTCCGACTGTGACCCCCTGCGCTGTAGCCCGCCAGGTTCCTCTGTCCACAGAATTCTCCAGGCAAGAATACAGGCGTAGGTAGCCATTCCCTTTTCCAGGGGATCTTCCTGATACCCAGGGTCCGAACCCGGGTTTCCTGCATTGCAGCCGGATTCTTCACCATCTGAGCCACCACGGAAGACAATGGGCCACAATCGGTCACCATCCAGGCTTTGCTCCACTCCTGTTGCCCCTCTGGGTCTGAACCCAAAGTGAGGGACGCTGCCCAGGCTGGAAATGCCCAAGAGAGCACTAGGAAATCGTCACTGTCTCTGCACCTCATCATCGCCACCAACACACACCTCACACGGAACAGACCAGGCGCAACACGGACTCTGTCGTTCAAGGGCCACTTGGCCTTGGGTTAGTCACCCACCCGCTCCCAGTCTCCATCTGCCTTTCTGTAAAACGTGGGTAATAATGACGAGCATCGTGGGGCCTGAGAACCGCACAAGGCCATGGAGGTGGATGCTCCCGGCACAAGGCCTGGGGTCGAGACTGGAAAGTCAGCACTGGAGACTGGGGCCCTGGGCTGCGTGTTGGGACAGAGGTCCCGGTGGCCAGGTCAGCAAAGGGTGGCGGGTGGAAGGAAGGAAGATGCTGATGGGGATGGATGGCCTGTGACCTTCTCCGGCACATGGAAACCTGGCAGAGCAAAGCTGTGGTTTAGCAAAGAAAATCGGGCTCTCTGCACAAGGCTGCTGGGGGTCGGGGAGGGGAGGAGGAGGGGGAGGCAGAAGGAGGAGGGAGGGAGGCCGCTTAGTGCCCTAGACCCAGGGCCGGGCACCTGACACCTGCCCAGCTCTGACCTGACCCAGCCTGCCCAGCTCTCCACGCTCAGAGCCGACCGTGAACGCAGGAGGTGGCCCTGTCCTACCCGGAGGCTGGCACAGAAACAGCGCTGTCAGCTTCCCTGGCTACGGCTTCTGACGAGCAGCTGATGCTGCCAGCTGTGACCACCAGCAAAGCTGGGCATCGGGAGGCGGGGGTGTGCACACGCGCCTGGAAGCCCGCTGCCCTCCTGCCCCCAGGCTGGTAGCTTGGGGTCTCAGGACGTCGGGGCCCAGGGAGAAGAGCCAAGTGTACTAAGCATTTCCTGCAGCCGGCACTGGGCTCAGAGCTCTGCGTGTGCCAACTCGGCTAACCCTCCTCGCAACCCTACGAGGCGGGGGCTATTCATAGCTTTGTTTCTAGGGGAGGAAATGGGCCCAGAGAAGCCAGGTTAGTTACTCAAGGTCATGCAGCAGAAGCAGGGTTTGAACCCCAACTGCAGAACCTTAGCCTCAGAGAGCAACCCGCCAACTCCCCGCCCCTCATTGCGAGAAAGGGGATGGGAAAGAAGAAAGTTAGAATCAGAAGACATGGGTTCCCACTTCAGCCCCACCTGCCAGCTCAGACTCTCTGTTTCCATCTGTGAAATGGGGATGAAGCTGTCCTGAGATCCTGCTGCTGACCAACAATATGAGGACAGGTGAAAGGGGGCTTCAGGAAGGGTCAGGGGTACACAAATGCTGGTTCTTCATTATCATAGGGAGCCTGGGGCCCAGAAAGAGGAAGAGGGCTTGTGTGCGGTGGTCCTCACTCCAGGGTCCTTCGTAGGAGACCCTGGCCTTCTCTCCAGCCCCCTCGCTCACTGCCTCCCACCCCCCTCCATCTCCACTCCTGCCTCCAACTCACCTTCACCCCTGGCCTCCCAGGCACCAGCCTCCTCCCTTATCTCCTGCCTGGCTTCTGCTCATTCCCTCTGCCTCATGCTCTCTCCCTTCTGTCTGCCTTGCCTGGCTTACTCCCAACTCACGTTCAGGTCTAGAAGCCTCTGCTGACCAGCAGGCCTGGATGGGGTACCCCCAGGTATGTCTGCATCTGGGCGCCCCACTCTTCACCTGTCTCCAGCTCAGCTGTGAGCTTTAGGTGTCAGGGGGAAAGGGGGGTTCCTATTCCCACTGAACCCCCAGCATCCAGCCCTGTCCCACTCAGCACACTGGGCATCTGGGCATTGAGTGAACACACGAATGAATGAATGAAGCCACACAACAACTTGGTGGCTCAGTGGTAAAGAATCCGCCTGTCAATGCAGGCGTTCAATGAACAAGGGTTCAATCCCTGGGTCAGGAGGATCTCTGAGAGGAGGAAATGGCAACCCACTCCAGCATTCTTGCCTGGGAAATCCCATGGACAGAGAAGCCTGGCGGGCTGTACAGTCCACAGAGTCGCAAAGAGTTGGACACGACTTAGCGACTACAAACAAACTATAACCAAAGCCAGAAGCTCAGCTTCCCCGCAGGGCAAGAGTAAATCCCGGGGCAGCCTCCTCCAGTACCCTTCCCCTGGTGTCTCCAGAACTGGATTCTTTCTGGGATGAGCCTGCGGCGAGAACCTTAGGGCGAGGAGAGTCAGCTGGGCTCAAGTCACTGTCCTTCCATGTGTCACCTGTGTGGCCCTGAGCCTTGGGCAGCTGGGGATTTATCAGTTCTGTTCAGTTCAGTCGCTCAGTTGTGTCTGATTCTCTGCGACCCCATGGACTGCAGCACGCCAGGCCTCCCTGTCCATCACCAGCTCCTGGAGTTTACTCAAACTCATGGCCATTGAGTCAGTGATGGCATCCAACCATTTCATCCTCTGTCGTCCCCTTCTCCTCCCACCCTCAATCTTTCCCAGCATCACGGTCTTTTCAAATGAGTCAGTTCTTCACATCAGGTGGTCAAAGAATTGGAGTTTCAGGTTCAGCATCAGTCCTTCCAGTGAATATTCAGGACTGATTTCCTTTAGGATGGACTGGTTGGATCTCCTTGCAGTCCAAGGGACTCTCAAGAGTCTTCTCCAACACCACAGTTCAAAAGCATCCATTCTTCGGTGCTCAGCTTTCTTTATAGTCCAACTCTCACACCCACACATGAAAAAACTGGAAAAACCATAGCTTTGACTAGACGGACCTTTTTTGGCAAAGTAATGTCTCTGCTTTCTAATATGCTGTCTAGGTTGGTCGTAACTTTTCTTCCAAGGAGCAAGCATCTTTTAATTTCATAGGTTGGTCGTAACTTTTCTTCCAAGGAGCAAGCGTCTTTTAATTTCATGGCTGCAGTCACCATCTGCAGTGATTTCGGAGCCCCAAAAGATAAAGTCAGCCACTGTTTCCACTGTCTCCCCATCAGTCAGCATCTGCCTTTCTCCTCCCGAGCGCTAAGGTAAGGGGCAGGGGCCCTTCCTGTTGCCTCCAGGCCTGTCACAGTGCTGAGCCTCGGGGAGGGAGGCTACATCAGTGAGTTAGACCGTGTGACAAACCACACCAAAACTTCATAATGTAAACGGAGCTTTTATTTAGCTTGCCCTTCCGCAAGGTGTGGTGTCGCCAGAGCTCCGCTGGGCAGTTGTTCTAGCCTCACTGAGGTTTTCCAGGTATCTGGTCATCTGTGATCTGGTTTTGCTGACCCTAGCCGAGCGCTCTCACAGGTCTGAGGTCTCAGCCCAGGTGGCTGGGTGGTCTCCCATCCTCCTGCAGGCCTCCCTGGGCTTTTTCTCTTGGCGGTGGCAGTGTTCTGAAAGAGGGTGTGCACTGGGCCTCCTGCGTCCTCGCCGGGGAACTGGTGGGCCACCGCTTCCATCATGCTTTGTGGACCACAGTAAGTCATAAGGCTAGTTCAGAGTTCAGATTCACAGCGGGGGGAAACAGACTCTACCTCTTATTGGGAAAAGCTGAGCATTAGGACAAGGAAGCCTGGTGTGCTGCACCCCATGGGGTCGCAAAGAGTCAGACGTGACTGAGCAACTGAACAACAGACTGAGGGGTGAGGATACAGAGAGGGAAGAACAATGGCGGGCATTTTTTTTTTAACCAAGGAGTCTTTATTTATTTATTTAATTATTTGGCTTCCTTGGGTCTTAGTTGCTGTACATGGGCTTAATTACCCTGTGGCTTTTGGGATCTTAGTTCCCTGACCAGGGATCTAACCCACATCCCTGCATTGGAAGGCAGAGTCTTAACCACTGGACCCCGGGGAAATCTACAGTTGTGGTCATTTTTGCAATCTCCCCTACAAGCTGAGTGTTAGAATGATGAGAGTCCACCCAGACTGGATCACTTTAGTATTTATTAGAATTTATGCCTCGTAAGCAGGGGCTTCTAAATGTAAGCAGAACCGTGGGATACCCCTCATTCGCCCTCCCCGACTCTTCTCCATCTCTTTGGCATCTTCCTGGCTGTGACGTCCAGGTGGCAGTCGTGGGCATGGATGTTCCCAGGCTCTGTCTCCTGAGAGGTGAAAATGGCACTGATGTTTGCCTATCTTAGGGTTTTCAGAAGGCAGAACTCCAGGAAACGAGGGGTCCAGGTGCACCTCTCAGGGCCTTGGCATGTGCCCACCCAAGACCTTCTTTTCCAGGATCCTTGCTTGGCTACAGCTGGATCTGGGATGTGGGTCTGGTACTCAAGTCTGCCTGGCATCCCGATTTTGGGGTGGGGATGAAGGGAAAGTTTAAGGCAGATCCTGGGGCCTTTTTCCCTTTTGAAATCTTCCTGGGATGGGGGTAGCGGACATCTCTCTACCTTGTCACTTTGTTGGATAGCTTCTTAGCACTTACTGTGGTTGGAACATATCGTTTATTTATATTTATGATCTGGCCCCCTCCATCGAAGGCCCAGATTCTGTCTTTTGCACTGCTGATCTCCAGCCCTCTGCTGCCGAGTGACAGAGGAGTACCCCGGGCCTGACCAGGGACCCTGTGGACTCGCTAACACTGGAGTTTGTGCTTGCCGCAGTGGGGTCGGCTGGAGAACTGTTTGAAGTTCTTCTCGTAGGTGGGCAGGTTCTCTTTGAAGCAGTAGGCAGACTGCGTGTCACACTCGCAGGCCCGTAGCCCGCAGAGGCAGCTGACGCCAGGACCAAGGGCGCATTCGCCTGCAGGGAGACAGAGGGTCACGGGGGCCTCCAGCCAACCCCCAGGGCTTGGTTCTAAGGTTGGGGAGAACTGGGAGCTCGCTGCAAGGGGTCAAGGGTTGAGAACTGAAAGGAAAAAGGAACTGGGAATCCTTCTCCTTCATCTCCAAGCCCTTCCACCATCACAGCTAGACATGCCCTGAAGAGACACCTGGGAAGAAACAGGAGAAGGGGCAGGTGTGGGCTGCACGTGAGTGGGGGGAGCACTGAATTAGTGACCCCAAGCAGCTCCCAGGGCAAGGACACAGAGCCCATCTTCTCAGAACTCAACTCCTATTTCCAACAGCTTACCTGGCATCTCACCTGGAAATCACTAGCATCTCCAGTATAAAATGCCCCAAAGGAGGATCTTGATGTAAGTGCCCCCTGCCCTACCCACTGATCTGGCCCTCCACCCACACTCTCAGCTTCAGAATTGGTACCACCTCCCACTCAAGCCAGAAAACTAGCAGCCAACCTTGACCCCTGCCCTCCTTTCACTTCCACATTTCATCCACCCCAAAAGTTCTGTGGATGTCTCTACATTTAGAATATTTCATGCTCTGCCCTCCTCTCCCCATCTTCTTGGCCATGACCCCAATCCCTGTCATCACCAGCTCTCCCGCCCTAATGGAAGGAAATAAACAGGGACTGTCTTGGAATGAATGAGGTTCACTCTCTTGCTGAAAGCCCCGCTGTGGTTTCCTACTATTTGAACAAAGACATCCCAAATCCTTGCCATGGACTCTGAAGCAGGCTTGCCGGAACAGGGCCCCTGCCCACCTCTCCACGCCCCCAGCCCTCCACTCTCACCTCCCCTCTGCTCCAGGAACACTGGCCTCTTTGGGTCACATGCTTTGGTTGGTCTTGTCCCAGGGCCTCTGCACTTGCTAGTTTCTTTGTCTGAAACACTTCTCTCCAGGATCTTCAAGAAGCTGGAGGCATCCCACCTTTGGGTCTTGGTCAAATTTCCTCTCTTCAGAGAGGATCTCCCTGACCACTCCAGCTAAACTTCTCCAGCCACTCTCCCGCATGTCCCCATTTGATACGCTGTACTTTTCGCATCTCTTACTCCTCTTATATTTGTTTACTTGCTTGTGTCTGTCTCTCCTTGACAAAGTGTAAGCTATGAGGCTGAGGCTTTTTCTGTCTCGTCCCTCCCAGTGTCCCCAGGATGTAGAACAGATGCTGGCACACAGGATGTGCTCAGCTAACAGTCCTTCAGTAAATGAATGAACTGTTAATGGGCCTTTGGGATTGAGTGTCTGCGCTGTGGCCAAATGACCACTAGGTGGGGATCTTTTATTTAGTGGTCAGAGTTGTTTGAGTGGTGTTGCTGTGTGTGTGTGTGTGTGTGTGTGTGTGTGTATTCAGTTCAGTTCAGTCGCTCAATCATGTCTGACTTTTTGTGACCCCATGGACTGCAGCACGCCAGGCCTCCCTGTCCATCACCAACCCCCGGAGTTTACTCAAACTCATCTCCATTGAGTTGGTGATGCCATCCAACCATCTCATCCTCTGTCATCCCCTTCTCCTCCTGCCCTCAGTCTTTCCCAGCATCAGGGTCTTTTCAAATGAGTCAGTTCTTCACAGCAGGGCCAAAGGATTGGAGTTGCAGCTTCAGCATCAGTCCTTCCAATGAATATTCAGGATGGACTGGTTGGATCTCCTTGCAGTCCAAGGGGCTCTCAAGAGTCTTCTCCAACACCACAGTTGGAGCATCAATTCATCGGTGCTCAGCTTTCTTTATCATCCAACTCTTACATCCATACATGACTACGATTCCCAATCTCTTTGGCACCAGAGACCAGTTTTATGGAAGACGATTTTTCCATGGACTGGGGGTGGGAGAGGCAGGGATGGTTTCAGGATGATTCGAGGGCATCACACTTATTGTGCACTTTATTTCCATTCCTATTACATCAGCTCCACCTCAGATCATCAGGCATTTTTAGATCCTGGGGGTTGGGGACCCCTGGCATAGGCAGCCTCCATTCTGTTTTGAGTCTTGGGGTGAGGAAGTGAGGCAGCCAGATCCCCTGATGTGTTGGCCTTGGGCAAGTTACTTTCAGTATCATTTATAAAACGGTGATAAAAACAATAGCGTCAAAAAGAAACAATGCCGTCTGCTTCAGGCATCGTGAGGATTTTCATTGTTGTTACAGATGGAGAGGTCTGGATATGCCCGGAACACAGAGGCCTCTATAGATGCTGTTATTATGATGATGCTGCACATGTTGGAAGAAGAAGACCCCTCTGAAGCTGGGCCAGTGCTGGCTACAGTCTGGTTGCTTTCCTTCTCCCTCTCTGAAGTCCACAATTTCTGCAGGAAGCTGTCCTCCCCCAGCTCGCTGGAGCCTGGGCTTCTCAAGACACGTTGACGCCACCCCACGCCTCGGGAGCTCTCCACTCACCCTCAGAAAATGGGCCGGGGACGGTTCCTGCCATTCCCGCTGCTCCTGGCACCTGGATCACCTTTGCCCTTGCGCACATCTGTGGAGCTCCCCTGGGGCTCCCCGAGAGCGCCTGTCCCGTCCATGTCCGGGCCTCTCACCTCTGCTGCGCCCAGCTCCCCGCGGATTCCCTCCCCAGGCAGCCGCCATGTAGAGGCCCCCAGGTCGTGAGGCTACGCACACAGCAGGGCTACTTGGGCGCAGGGCTCCAGCCCATCCAACCTCTCCTTCCTCCCAAAGGGCCTGGTGCCGTGTGCTGTCAGTCACCCGGGTGCTGCCTGCCTGGAAACCGGAAGGGAGTCACGTTTCCCACGCTTTCCTCTCTCTCCCCTTCTCTCTTTCTGTCTCTCTCTTGGTCTCCTATTCTCCATCTCTTCTTTCGTCCATCTCCTTTCACCAAGACTCCCTCTTCCTTTCTCACCACTCCCCTCTCTGACTTTGTCTTCTGGTCCTTTCCAAAGCACGAAGCATAGTTCTCTCCTGACAATCAGCTCTACATCTAATGACTGACCCGGTCCCCACGCCTTGGGGACTGACCCGGCACGGCAGTCTATCGCCGTGGGCATCCCACAGCTGTAGTAGGGACAGGCCTGTCACTCGCTAGAAGAGGCAGCCCTGGGCCAAGAAATGCCAGGCCTCGGAGTCATCTTTTAACAACAAGCCCAAATCCAGATCCTGCATCCTTTAGCTTGCTCATGGAGAAATGGAGACATGAAGACGGAACTGATCATGCTTTCGCATTCCATGAAACAGACTGAAAGATTTCCACCTGGGCTTCCCAGGTGGCGCAAGTGGTAAAGAACCCGTCTGCCAATTCAGGAGACATCAGAGACACAGGTTCCACCCCTGAGTTGGGAAGACCCCCTGGAGGAGGTCACGGCAACCCACTCCAGTACCCTTGCCTGGAGAACCCCATGGACAGAGGAGCCTGGGGGGCTACAGCCCATGGGTTGCAGAGTCAGACATGACTGAAATGACTTAGCACGCACGCAAGCACACACTTCCACCAGTGAGATGGGAGGGTCTACGCTCCTGCGTGAGCTACCTTAGACTGCCTGCCAGGCTGCTCCCTGTCTGCACCTGGCCCCTGTCCTGGTCTCTGAACCCTCTCCTTGGGTGCCCTCGTTTTAAAGCTCAGAACTCTAAATACCGCCTGAGCACTGCCCACTCCCCACTTCTCCCTGCAAGACTCCCCAGTTCTACCCGCAGCCCTTTGAGCTCCAGACACCAATATGCGTGTGCTCACATGGCTCCCGAGTGTCCGATGTGAATCTCACACCCAGCACGGCTCATCCAGGCTCTTGCTGTGACCGCAGAGTCTGTGCGCCTCTATCCGCACAAGCTCGTAGACACATGGTTACCCCCGGAGGCTCAGAACAACGATGTCAGAGTCAGCCTCCCTCGCCTTCAAGCCTCACACCGAATCCAACAGCAGGTTCTGTCGGTTCACCTCCCAAGCATGCCCAGAGTCTGACACTCCACCCCAGCTACCGAGCCACATGACGGTCACTTCCCCCCAGTGTGACGGGAACAGCCCGCTAGTGGCTCCCCCTCTTTCTGCCCTTGCTCACCAACTTCTCTGGGCAGGGGCCAGAGTCCTCTTTCTAAAGGCAAATTTGAGCTGATCACTTTCTGCTTGAAGGCTTCTCGCTGCAACTGAAGGAGCAGGGGAGCCCCTCACCCCACAGCCAGGCCTTGCCAGACTCGTTTCTCGTGGGACACCCACCCCCCCCCCTCCTCTGGCTAAATGCCACCTCCCTAGAGAGGCCTTTCCCGACACCTGAAGTAGCATCCACCCCCAACTGCCGTCCTCATTCAGTAGCTTGTGGCCTTATTTTAGAGGTTTCACAGCACTTGTCGCTACCCGAGTCTATCTTTCTGAATATTTCATGGACTGTCTCCCTGCCTGCACATAAGCTCCTTCCGGTCATGGAGTCTGTCTTTTTCTTGCAGATGTTCGGCGGCAAACACGCGGTAAGGGCTCCATCACCGTATGCTGCTGCTTCGCTGGCTGGACTTAAGACACGCCCCGCCGGGCAGTGACCAGAGTCCCCATCCCAAGAAATGGGGAGTCAGGTTCTGGGTCCAGATCTGCCGCTTGAAAGCTCTGGCATCTCAGGAAAGTTGTTCCTCTCTGGGTCTCTTCCCTAGGCTTTCAAATGAGGGTACAGGTTCTTGTACAGACTATTTCATGAATTTCTTCACTCATTTGATCATCGGATATTGATTGAATTTCTAACATATGCCCAGCCTTTGGCTAGGAAGCAGGGGGACAGGTCTGAGCAAGCGGACCCCACAACTGCATGGCTTCAGCATCCTTCTCTCTGGCTTTACCCCCCACCCCGGGGCTCCTCAGGGGGCTCGGCAGTGAAGAATCCACCCGCCAGTGCAGGAGACGTGGGTTTGATCCCTGGTCTGGAAGATCCCCTGGAGGAGGAAATGGCAACCCACTCCAGTATTCTTGCCTGGGAAACTCAAGGGACAGAGGAGCCTGGGGGAGGCTATAGTCCAGGGGTCGCAGAAGAGTCAGACACGACTCAGCATGCATGCACATACCCCCCCCCCACCCCCAACAAGTGCTCCCCAATCTCTTGGAGCTCAAACTCCAGCTGGGGAGAGCTGACCCAGAAGTAAACAAATAATTGAACAAGATGAGATGATGTGAGGTTGAGAGAGATTCTAGAAAAGGACAAGGGTGATGCGTCAGTGAGTGGAGGTGTTGTGAGGAGTAAACTCAGCAAAGGAGAAAGATCTTTGCAAACTACAAACTCCAGTGGTTAGCTGGTTCGCCGTCTGCCTTGGGCAGAGTCACAGGCTCAGAGATGGAGGTGACAGAGGGGCCTCAGGCTGGAACTCTGGCTCTGCCGCCCACGGCCGGGCCCCTCCCTGCCCGACAGATGTGGGCACGCGTGGGTGGAGGGGGCACCGCCAGCGGCAGATCTTAAAATCCCTCGCGAATGCCACGAGCTTATGCAAGCCCACTCAACAGAGGGCTAATGACCTCCCCAGTCGCCTGAGGGCAGCCATCACCACTGGCAAGTTGGCCCCAGGGCTTGAGTTCCAGGCCTTTCTCTGCACTGCTCTCCCACTGACATTCCGAGATGTGGACAGACCAGGCTGTTTTCTCCTTTCCCTTCCCTGGTACCAACCACATCCAGGAGCAGCCACTGGTTGCTAGGCAACCCGGAACTAGGCTTGGGTGCCAGATTTCAGAACTGGGAGGCTTGGGAGGTGATTAACCCTTGCAGCGCAGTTCTTTGAACTGCAGTGTAACTGGGGATTGTGGTGCGGGGCAGGGGGGGAGAGCTATCATCCTATAAGGGGTTAATGACATTAGCTCAAGGGGAGGCCAATGCAGGGGAGATGCTTCCAAGAAATCTCTCAACAGTAATAAAGAAAATCCCAGTGCTTTCCCATGAAGTGAAGGGGGAGAGGAAACTAGGGTTAAAAAAATAAAAAGAAGACATCTCAGCTTCTAAAAGGAAAGGTATTAATTAAGCACCCACTCCGGGTCAGACCTCTGAGTTGGGGAGGGCTCAGTCTTTTTGCAATCCCATGGACTGTAGCCCACCAGGCTCCCCTGCTCAGAATTTTCCAGGCAAGAATACTGGGGGGGTTGCCATTTCCTCCTCCAGTGACCTTAGAGACCGCAGGAAGTAATGAGTAGTGCTTTACAGAGGAGGAGACTAAGGCCCAGGGTGGTCGTGCAATTAATCCAGCTGGAAAAGACGAAGCTGGGATTCAGGCCCGGCTCTGCCTACCCCAAAGCATTTGCTGTCTCTGGGCTTCTCAACGAGGTGCACGGAGCTGCGACAGGAAGATCCGGGGCGCTGCAGGGGGCCAAGCTCCTTGGCTTTCCTTTGCCCCCTGGGCCGGAGCCGAACATTCTGACAGGCGTGCCGTAGATAACAAGACTTGCATCTGTGTGAGCCCCCCAGTCCAGTCCCCTCCCAGCAGTCTCACGCCAGCGGGGAAGGCGGTGGGAGGCAGGAGCACCAGCTGGGGTCGGACGACCTGGTCTGAGTCCCAGCGGTTCTTTTCCTGGCTGTGTGGCCGTGGCTGTCTCACTTCACCTCTCTGAGCTTCAGGGTCCTCCCGATAACGGGGAGGACAGTGCCCACCTCAGAGGCTTACTGTGGATTCAAAGAGCTGAGTGCCAAGCCTCCTTCAGCTGCTGATGAACTTCAGCTATGGTGAATGCACCTGCTTTACGGATGCAGAACCTCAGACCCAGAAAACTCCAGCCAGCAGTGTGTTCCAGAGCACCGGAAAGTCTCAAGACACATGAGATTGAGTTTGCCTGGGGCCTGGGTCAGCCCTTCCCCGTCTCTGGGCCTCAGTGAGGGGTTGGTCGGGCTGCTCTCCAAAAGCACTGGCAGCAAGGCCCGGGGCTGCCTCACTCTGTGCCCCCAGCCCTGGCACAGCGCCGGCCCTGGATGGGTATCCCATGGGTCCTCAGTTGATACTGGGCAGGGGAATGGATGTGGGTGGGGTTCACTTGGGGTCTCAGCCCACATCGGCAGCAGGAGCCAGGTCATCTGGCTCCCAGCCCTGTTCCTGGAAATAGGGACTTGGCAAGCTGAAGCTCCAATACTCTGGCCACCTAATGCGAAGAGCCGACTCACTGGAAAAGACCCTGATGCTGGCATAGATCGAAGGCAGGAGGAGAAGGGGCCGACAGAGGATGAGGTGGGTGGATGGCATCACCAACTCAGTGGACATGACTTTGAGCAAACTCTGGGAGATGGTTAAGGACAGGAAAGCCTGGCGTGCTGCAGTCCCTGGGGTCACAAAGAGTCGGGCGCGACTGAGTGATGGAACAGAGGTGGGTGTGGGAAGAGCAGGGGGTCAGCCTGGAACTGACTGGCTAGGTCAGCTGCAGAAGGGGGTGCTAATGCCCTGGTGAGAATGGGTAAACGTCCCTCCTCGCTAACTCTCATAGACAGGTGCTGGACTCTGGGATCCCTGGTCAAGCTTCAAGAGCAGCTGGCCACTGCTGCTTGGCAGGGGCCAGCATCTGTGGAAAGCACAGCCCAGGCCACGAACGTTCCAGTCCAGCTCTGAGGCCCTGCCTGCACCTCCCACCACCACCAGCGTGATGTGCCAAGCGGGCAACACTTCCTGTGCCACCTGCTGGGGCTCCAGCCTCTGCTCCCAGGTCACCTTCCTCCATCTCCTGGGGTCCCCGGCTGCGGCTCTGGTCCCCATGACGGAAGGTGAAGAGGGTTGCTAAAGAAACTGCTCCAGGAGCAGAGGACCCAGGCCCGCCCAGAGGAGCAGAGGGTTTGGTCGGGGGCATGGGACCGCAGGGCAGGAAGGTCCTTGGCACCTACTGAAAACCTGCGTCCCTCTTCAAAGCTGTTTCCCTCCCTTCTCGGCCCCTGGGCTCTACGGGGGAATCAGGGGAGAGAGCTCCCAGAGAGCATCTGCTCTCCCAGCGATGCCCATCCCACCACCCTAAGGTGACACCTGACGTGACAAAGGTCAAGTTCAAGGTGAAACGAGATGAGATGAGGCCACGTGAAGGCGAGACTGCGAGTCAGACGGAGAGGCCTCGGGGTAGCTTTTCTGCGTGCCCCTCCCCCACCAAGCGAGAGCCGGGCTCGCCCCGTTTCCCGCCCCCACCCCCAGCACGCGGGGTCAGGAGGGATGAGAAACTCGGTGACACCACTTGCGGAAGCAGGCCACCCTCTGGGCTCACCCTCCTCCAGTCCCCCCTCGCCCCCCATCCACCAGGCCGTGATCCCGCCCCGTGTTCTGGACATGGCCGAGGGGGCCTCACGGTGGAGATGCTTTGCTTTAGGCTGGAGGGCGGTCAGGAACTCTTCTTGCGCTCACATGGGAAAAACGGGGTCCCTTCCCCACCGACAGTAGGCCCGAAGACGGGAGAGCGGAAAAGCAGACTCCACTGAAGCTGGGCCGCCCGCCCGCAGGGGTCTGGGCCAGGTTCCGGCTCCCCGGCGCCAGAACCAGGCAGACCAAGCCAACCTGACCCAGTGAGTCCTGGGCCTGAGCTCCGGGTGGAGATGAAGGCAAGGGAGGCGGTCTCCCCGCCCCGGGGAGGGACGGGTGATCAAGACACACTCACAGCTCTGAATAAACATGCAAGGGAGGACAGTATTTCCCGTGACTCCACAAGGCCGAGCGGACGGCGAGTCACACGCTCGAAGGGGCGTTCAGATCAACAGCCCTGCTGAACTGAACAGCCTTGGAGACAAGGCTGTGGTCGGCTGCCTGCAAGTGAGCTTGCACTTTAGATCCAGCCTGCCCTACCCACCCACCCAGCCGCCCCGGATCACGCTGAGAGCTCAGAGGCCCCTCCGCACGTGCCGGACACTCAGCGCTGGCCTGCCTGTCCTCTGTCCTCTTCCCTGAGTGGCCTCGAAGACAGATGGGCTCCCTACCCTGCCCCCGATTCACTCTGCTGTCCCCCACGGCACCTACCCCAGATCTTGGCACTCAACCCCCTTCACAAATATTTGTTCAACTGAAAGATAGCTGAGCTGCTTTGTTAACACACAACAGACATCGGGAAGAAGCTTCTCAATAGCAACAGCTGCCAAGCGCAGCCGCAAGATTCACTGTAATCTTTGGTCAACAACTACTTATCAAGCCCAGGAGAGACCCCGGGTGGGCGGCAGGGACTGTGTACTGAAACCCAAACTCCAGGGGAGGGAGCTGGGGGGCACAGCTTTGAGCAGGAACCAGGGGGGGGCCAGGGCTGGGTTCTCAGGAAGCGCTGATGCTCAGAATTGCCACTCTACATCCCAAAGCACTTAGGGAAAAAAATCTCCTTTTCCCAAAGTTCTCTGGGTCCACGAGGCTGAACTTAAAGAAAGGCCCAGGGTCAAGGACTTTCTCTGCTGAGAGGACTACTCACAGACCACGGTTCCGTTGACCATGTGGAACTGGTAGCCGTTCAACACGGGCTGGCAGCCGAGCTGCTTCACGCTCTCGTAGCAGCAGTCGTGGGCCAGGCAGCACCTGTGGGCCAGATGGAGGGAGATGGGGGCTTTCCTGAGGATAGCCCTGGGGAGAAGGCGGGAAAGGACTCGCCCGCCTCCTTCCCGGATGACCAGGTGCAGAAGGCAGGGAGGCGACTTCCTAATGGTGTTGAAAATCGCAGAAAGGGCCCTTGTCTACCTACTGCCGGCCCATGAGCTCCTCACAGCGACCCTAGGAGGTGCAGTCCTTGTCCCCATTCTGCGGGGGAGGAGACGAGGCTCAGAGGTGAATTTCCCCCAAATCCAGGCCCCCATGACGTATCCATTCATTTAATGACTTGCCGTTGCTGTTCAGTCACTACGTCCGTCCGACTCTCTGAGACCCCACGGACTGCAGCACGCCAGGCTTCCCTGTTCTTCACTAACTCCCAGAGCTTGCTCAAACTCATGTCCATCGAGTCGGTGATGCCATCCAGCCATCTCATCCTCTGCCTCTCTCTCCTTTTGCCCTCAATTAATGACTGAGCACCAACGATGTGCCCAGCCCTCGGAGAGGCTCTGAGCAGACAGAGGTCAGCACGCCAGACGTGATCCTTCGGTCTTTGCTCTGTTGAGGCTCAGAGCCAGTGAGACGGCAATGGGATAGACGAAGTGGGGACAGCGCTGGACGAGAGAAAACAGCTGGGGATGGCCTCGGCCCGCCTCCCCAGCCAAGTCAGAGCGGCAGGAATGCAGAGACGGGGACTGGCCGATCCCCTGGGCTGGACGCTCGGTCTTCCTCCATCACCATCTGCATCCACACGCGGGCTCCTGGTTGTCTGTCATCTTTGGCTAGCAGTGCTGGAATGCTCATCAGCCTTAGGACTCGGAAGGGGAGGCACCGAGCATTAAAGAGCCTGGACTTTGAAATAAGAAAACTCTGGTGCAAATCCTGACTCTGCCACTCAAGGGGCTGAAGGTCTTCGGGCTCTGCGGCTTTGTTCGGCGGGCCCCCCGTAAGATGTCCACCAGTGTCCCCCGTAAAATGGAGATGGTGGCCTGGCCTCGACCATGCGCTAGCAGGATTAAACCAGGCCCTGCGTGCAGAGCACCAGTCCCAGGGCTCAGCGCGTGCCGGGCATTTTGGCAGTACTGGGCCCCCTCCAGGGCTCTGGGGTCTTCCTGGCTGGAACAATCTGTGGTCTCAAGAGCCCAGCCCAGAGGGCTCGAGCTCCAGGAGTGATATTCAGGCCCTGCTGTGGGGCTATATTCATCCACACTTCGGTGAACGCAGCCAGGAACATTTTGTTTCTTATTTCTTCGAATAAAAAGATGCACAGACCGTCCTGTCTCCTACTTCCCTGTTCCCTCCCCAGATAACACCAACCTCCACCTTTTCTGGGAACTCACACTCCCCCCTCCCCATCCTGAGAAGCAGGCCTGGCAGCCAGGTCTGTGCCATGTGGCCTCACCCAGATGGACAACTTCTCCAAACTGGGCCACTCAGATTCTCTCTCCTTCCCGCAGAATGGAATTAGGATGGGAGACAGCGGGTCAGTCTTGCTGCACTGATAATCCTAAAATGTGAGGGCCCTAGAAAAGACGGCATTTGCTACGAGGACTGAGAGCTGGGCGTTTTTCTAGAGCTCTGGGCAGGGCTGACCACACGATCTGCATAGTGCAACATGAAAACGAAGGGGCCCCTTATTCAAACACCGTCCAGCATTTCAAGATGGTGACAGCCGAACAGCGAACCTCCTGCGGGCCCCAGACGGCAGGAAGCCAGCCCCAGCCCTGGGCCTCTCAGGACCTCCCTCCCACTCCCATTCAGTTTTGTCCTTCTGCTCAGGCTCACCCGAATTGATTTGTTCCTTGCAATTTGCCAAGTCCGAACATCCTCTCTCTCTTCAAGAAGGGATTTCGATGCGAATCGAGTGACAGAAAGCCTCAGAGCCTCTGCACTCACCTGTCAGTGTTATCCACGGGGGTCCCCTTGCCCCCGAGCCCGCAGTAGCAGCCATATCCATAATATGAGAAGAAGGCGCTCCGTCCTGTGATGTGTTTGACCATCCTTTGAAACTGCCAGAAGCTGCTGTGCGTGGGGGCCATCACTGCCGAGGAGCAAATAAGGAAGAAGGGAAGAAGTGATGAGAAAGACTGCTTTCACATCCCCCAGCTGGAGCCCCCTAAACTGGACACCAGCCCCTTTAATGGGGACGGGAGAGGGTCAGTCAACTGCATCACACAGCTAGTTTCTTGCCTACCCAGGAGAGAACCCAGTTTCCAGGATGTTCAGGACAATGCTGCCAACTACAGTCTGCGCCCCACAGGAAAAGACCCCCATCCCGTGCAGAGACACCCTCAGGTCTGATGCTGATCATTAACAAGAAAGGTTCAAAGCCAGAAATGCCAGTCCCTGCAAAAACCACTGGGGCTTTTACAGTCTCACAGGAGAAACAAAATACTTCAGAGGCAGAAAAGGCTGTCCTCAATTCATTTTTTTAACAGCAAATACAGGTGGCACAGTGGTAAAGAATCCCCCTGCCAATGCAGGAGATGCAAGAGATGCAGGTTCGATTGAGAAGACCCCCTGGAGTAGGAAATGGCAACCCACTGCAGCATTCTTGCCTGGAAAATTCCATGGGCAGAAAACCCTGGCGGCCCATAGTCCATGGGGTCACAAAGAGTCAGACATGAATGAGCACACACACACAAGAACTTAGCAATTTTTACTTCTACAAAGTGCTTAGGAAAGTGAGGGGAAATATATATATATATATATATGTATATATATATGTATGTATATATTTATATTTTATATATATGTATGTGTGTATATATATATATATGGAGAGAGGAATGTTTGCTGCAGCATTATTTGTGATATCAAAAAATTGGAGACTACCCACATGCCTGCTGACAAGGAGATAATAACTAAATGATGTCTTGAAAACATACTACTTTTAATAGCAATATCACTAGGCAGTGGGACTGAGGAAGTAGGTGGAGAAAAAAGCAGGCAACATTAACCCTAAATACGTCCATGCTGTCTGATATATATATATTTTACAACAAGTCTGTATTACTTTTCTATTGAAATGTTGGCAACACACGTGTGTAAAGGCCCGAGTGTATGTCAGTCTCAGTGGTGTCTGACTCTTTGCAACCCCAAGGACTGTAGCCCGCCAGGCCCCCTGTCCATGGGATTCTCCAGGCAAGAATACTGGAGTGGGTTGCCATTTCCTCCTCCAGGGGATCTTCCGGACTCAGGGATCAAAGCTTCGTCTCTCTGGTTTCCTGCATTGGCAGGTGGATTCTTTACCCCTGCATCACCTGGGAAGCCCAGGTAAAGGCCTAAAAGGATGTATATCAAACTCTGAAGACTGTTTACATAGAAACGGATAAGGGTCGGTGAAAGATGGGAAGGGGTTTTATCTTGTTACTCTATACTAATGTATTTTACTTTTTAATTACGAGTGAATATTAGTTTTACAATAAAAATAAAATAAAAACATGAAGAAGAAAACCCAGAATGGGAGGTTTAGGGAGATTTTTCTAGGAGCCCTCCCATCTCATTCTGTGACTTTGGATGCCCTGTGGTCCCAAACACTGCGGAGGGGCCCAAGTCTGGGGGCAGTCTCTGCTGCCGAAGCAGCGCCTGGAGACAGGGTAGGACCATACTGAGACACCGCTCTTGGGGTACACGGAGCTGGGTGTCTGCAGCACTGCTCCTTCCTGCACATGGATCCCCTGCCTCTAACATCATGATCTTAAAAACGGTGCCTTCCACCACTGACTAAGTGAAACGGGGACCCCATTTTTGACATTTTGACGTAGAGACCCAAAAGTGATTGCTTCACAGCTGAAACAGATAGAAAAATGGATTGGGGCAAATCTCCACTCATCTCATCAAAGCAACAAGTCAGAGAGTTTTCCAGCAAACCCAACACTGTTTCCTAGTAAGTTCTCTTTCACTCTGCAGAGATATGTAATCTGATCTCCTGGAAGCAATGACTTATAATTACCCATTATTCTACAGGTCACCGTAAGAATGCCTTTCTGAGGAGAATTAATCATTCCTACATTAGCTAGATGTATGCCCACGCTTTTGTTCTGGAATCCATACGACTTTAAATGAAGGCAACTTAAGATGAAGACAACAAACCAGGGTGACCAAGGGGGCCAGAGGCAGGGGATGAATCGGGAGGCTGGGGCTGACACACACAGGGCTGCACATAAAACACGTGACTGATGAGAACCCACCGTATACGCAGGGGACTCTGCTCAGCACTCTAACAACCTGCGTGGGAAGCAAATCTATAAAAGGGGGGACACATGCACATACGTATAACTGCGCTATGCAGGGAAAACTAACACAGCATTGTAAATCGACTATACTCCAATAAAAATCAATTTAAAAATAAGTAAATAAAGGCAACTAGCATCCAAAGACTCCTGAAAGGTATGTGTGGTACAAAAGTGGCCAGATGCCCTCTTTCTTAGCAGATGGTTAGCAACCTTTGATTTTCTAAATGTTCTGTGAGATCCCAGCACTGGGGTGAATGCTTTTTGCAGAAGCAACAGAAGCAGGAGGCCTTCAGTGGGGGCCCACTTCACTGCGGGCTCCCCTCTGAGCAACGCGTGATTCCGCTCACCTGACACCACCTGAGGAGGGGTCGCCCCAGAGACAGACAGGGGGTCACACCCTGGAGCTCGCCCCGCTGTGACTACTTACAGCAGGAGGCAAAGACCACGAGAACCCCAAAGACCTTCATTCCCGAGGAGCTCAGGCCGTCCGAGGCGCCACGACCACACCTTCCTCTGTTTTCGAGGGCTCTGCCAGCTGAAGTCCTATTTGGAGAGAAAATAAGCAAAATGAGGGACGCCATGTGGTAGCGAAACCCACAACCACAGCGCAGGTCTTCAAAAGCCTCAGTGGAGGGCTCCGAGCAAAGAGACCTTTTCAAACCTAATCATCTCTGAATACGATACCCCCTCGGGTATTTAGACCTAAATATAAAGATAAGAATGGTTCAATTGTTTGAAAAGTCCAAGTTTTTTTTTTTTTAATTTCTTTCTTTGGCAACACTAAGCCTTCATCCTTTTTCAGTTTTCTTTTGAAGAGTCAATATTTCCTGTGTTGCCAAGCTGACAGGCAAATATGGTTCGTGATGGGAATCCAGTGTGGGAAAGTCTGGCCCCATTTACATGGCAGTCCCCCTGGGTTTTCCTTCCTTGATGACCAGGTAACTTATTCATAAACTTAGCCCCTCCGAATCCCAGCTTCCTCTCCTAAAGAGACTAAAATTGTCTATCAGTCATTTCAAACATTTATTAAGAAATTAGTTGGAGTCTTAAAAAACATTATACAAATGAACTTATTTGCAAAACAGAAATAGACTCACAGCCATAGGAAACAAACTTATGATTAGAAAGTGGGGGATGGAGGGATAAATCAGGAGTTTGGGATTAACAGAGACACACTATCGTAAATAAAATAGATAACCAATAAGGACCTACTGCATAGTACAGGGCACTCTACTCAGCACTCTGTAATAACCTACATGGGAAAAGAATCTGAAAAAGAATAGATAGATGTATAACTAAGTGGGGCGTCCCTGGCGGCTCAGATGGTAAAGAATCTGCTGCAATGCAAGAGACCCAGGTTCAATCCCTGGGTCGGGAAGATGCCCTGGAGAAGGGAAGGGCAACCCACTCCAGTATTCTTGCCTGGAGAATCCCATGGACGGAGAAGCCTGGCAGGCTACAGTCCATGGGGTTGCAAAGAGTCAGACAGGACTGAGTGACTAACACATACAAGTCATTCTGCTATGCACCCGAAACTAACACAACATTGTAAATGAATTACACTTCAATAAAAAAAGAAAAAAACGCTTAGCAGATCACTGTAGCATATTTGTCTATTCCTAATAAAGTAAATTCTTTGTAAAGAAGAAATAGAAATTAGTAAAGGCGAGGTGCTATTTTCCTTAAGGGCTTCATGTCTGTACATTATTTAATCCTCGCAATAACCTGAGAGACTCTATTATCAGTTTCGAGATGGAGAAACTGAGGCCCGGTGAGTTTGGACAACTTCCTTCTGCTCACACAGCCCCCTACGGCACAGACTTGTGGAGATCAGCTAAAACAAAGCAAGTAAAACAGACCGGCACTGTAAGGCCTGCACCAGGTGACCGCACCCTTCTCATCACTATTGGCAACGGTGCACGCGTACCTGCTCAGTCATGCCCGGCTCTTAGCAACCCCATGGGCTGGAGCCCGCCAGTCTCCTCTGTCCATGGGATTTTCCTGGTTAGAATACTGAAGTGGGTTGCTATCCCCCCATCCAGGGGTGTCTCCCAGACCTAGGGATCGAACCTGCGTCTCGTGCGTTGGCAGGCAGATTCCTCACCTCCGAGCCACCTGGGAAGGTCATTAGCAATGGTAAGGCAGCCATAGCCAGCACACTTCTCACAGGATGGCAGAGGAGAACGTGGGCTCAGGATCCCATGTCCTCACATGGAGCCCTGTGGCAAAGTTTCCCAAGAAAATTTCAAAACAAGCGTCCTGCCGGAGCATCCTGGAAGAATTTGCTACTTTTGCCCTCATTGGCAAGATTCCGGTAGATGCTGAGAGGCTGGGCCCTGACCGGGCCTGGTCCCAGCCAGACTTCATCTCAGATGCTGCAAGGGATGTTTTTAAATTAGATTCCATCTTACAGGCTGACTTCCTTTGTTTCTTTTGAGTGTGAAAAAAAATAACTGTGTGATGGTTTAGCCCATGATGAAGGGACTCATACCTTTCAAAAGAGCGAGTGATAACACTTTGGTGAGAAGAAAGGGACCTGGGTGCATTTCTGGTAATGAGATAATACAGGCTCTTATTAAGCATCAACTATTCCCTGGTGGCTCAGCGGTAAAAAACCTGCCTGCAATGCAGGAGGCTTGGTTTTGATCCCTGGGTCGGGAAGATGCCCTGGAGGAGGGCATGGCAACCCACTCCAGTATTCTGGCCTGGAGAATCCCATGGACAGAGGAGCCTGGCGGGCTACAGTCCATGGGGTCTCAGAGTCGGACACGACTGAAGCAATTTAGCACACACATGCCTTCTTCTAAGGAGACAAGATTGTGGCCCTGGGAGTGCCTCCAAGCTGGTTGGAGACCAAGTAGGTAAGTATAGACCATACATGGATCAAAAGCGCCCCATGGGAAGAAAGTCTGTGTGGTTCTCCAGGGCTTCCTGAATGCTTGGCAGTCTCTGGCAGGCCCCCTCTTTAGGGACGGGATATCAGCTGCTCCTGACGCTCTCACTCACCCACTGGGAACTTCCTCTGTCTGCTCCAAGGTTGTGACCCTGCCCGGCCAAGATGGGAGGAGTAGCCCCTGGAGGTGATGATTTAAAGGGCCAAGCCCCCAGGATGTTGAGAAAAGGGAATTCTTGGGCACTGTTGACAGGAACGTGAATTGGTGTAGCCAAACAGTGTGGAGGTTTCTCAAAATATTAAAAACAGAACTACCACCAGCTCAGGTCAGTTCACTCGCGTCTAATCTCAATCAATCTCAATCTGAATTGCAAACGAGATTCAGTCTCAGTCCTGTCTGACTCTTTGTGACCCCATGGACTGCAGCACGCCAGGCCTCCCTGTCCACCACCAACTCCTGGAGCCCACCCAAACTCATGCCCATTGAGTCGGTGATGCCATCCAACCATCTCATCCTCTGTCGTCCCCTCTCTTCCTGCCTTCAAGCCTTCCCAGCATCAGGGTCTCTTCCAATGAGTTAGTTCTTCCAATCAGGTGGCCAAAGTATTGGAGTTTCAGCTTCAGCATCAGTCCTTCCAATGAATATTCAGGACTGATTTCCTTTAGGATGGACTGGTTGGATCTCCTTGCATCACTACCATATGATCCAACTATTCCACTTCTGGGTAGTTATCCAAAGAAAACAGAAACACTAATCTAAAAAGACATATGACCTTTATATTCACTGCAGCATTATTTACAATAGCCAAGATATGAAGCAACCTAAGCATTCCTTGACATGTATATATAATGAAATATTGTTGTTCAGTTGCTAAGTCATGTCCAACTCTTTGCAACCCTGTGGACTGAGGTCCTCTAGGCTCCTCCGTCCATGAGGTTTTCCAAGCAAGAATACTGGAGTGGGTTGCCATTTCCTTCTCCAGAATGAAACACTACCCAGCCATAAAAAACTAAATTGTTTGCCATTTGCAACAACACGGATGGGCCTAGAGGATAGTAGGCCAAGTGAAATGTCATACAGAAAAAGACAAATACCATATGATTCCACCTATGTGTGGTATCTGAAAAACAAAACAAATGAACAAATAAAACAGAAACAGAGTCATAGATACAGAGAACAAACAGGCGGTTTCCAGGGGGAAGGGAGGTGGAGGGTTGGGCAAAAGAGGTGAGGGCATGAAGAGACACGGACTTCCAGTTATCAAATGTCACGGGGATGTAATACACAGCATAAGGACTATAGTTAATAATATTGTGATAATTTCATGTGGTGACAGATGGTTAACAGACTTATCATGGTCATCATTTCGCAGCCTGTTTCATCAGCCACTACGGTGTACTCCTGAGATGAACATGATACTGTATGTCAACTATACTTGAATAAAAAAATAAATAAAGGGCTTGCCTCCTCCCGGACATCTCCGAAAGGCCAGCCCAGGCCCTGAGTGCCCTGGGGGGCCGGCTGTGGCCTCCGCCGCTGCCTCCAGGTGTCAGCTTCTCCTGCTCCCCAACTCCGCAGCATCCACTTTTGCACAGGTGTTCTCCCCAGGGAGCCTCCCGGGGCTGCAGCCCTCGCCTGGGTCCAGGGAGGCCAGTGTAGGAGAGCGATGGGTGTGCCCCCTAGTGGCTGAGTAAATAAATGCCATTGAGCTCAGAGGAAGGAGCCCTGGACTCATCTCCAAAAGGAAGGAGGCATTTGGGGGGGGGCCTTGCATGACCTCAAATTTGTTTTCTGCATCTATTTACTCCTCACTGCAACCCTTCCAGGTAGGACCTATCACTTCTTCACTTGACAGTAGAGAAACCAACTCAGAGAGGAGACGTGACCTGAAACAGATCCACGCGGCTTACCAAGTGGCGGGGCCAGGACAAGCCTACGGTCCCAACTCCAAATCCAGTGCTCCTTCCACCTCGCTGGGCCCCCGCTCTGTAGACCTCTTGTCTGTGAGGCCTTTTGAAGGCTACAGAGCTTTTCCACAGACACTGACCTCCAGAGCTACAACTTAGGCAAGGCGGACATGGTCCTCTCCCTTTGACTAACCGTTTACGGGGGGTTTGAATTGTGCTGAACCAAAGCCAAGAACACAGGATCAGAGGCGCAGAGACTTGATGAAGGGGGAGACCGAGGGAGCCAGTGGGTAGGCGGGTCCCTAAGAGCGGCTCTGTCAAACCCATAAATTCATCTTACATGGACAGTGATAGAACATGGCTCGGTTTTTTCTCCCCCTGGAGAACATAAGGAGGAAGGAACCTGCAAGGTCTGTAAGGGTCACGATTGTGTTGTTCACCTGGAGCCCAGCTAGCCCTGCGCCTGGCACCAACTAGTACTGAAGAAGATGGCCAACGTGCATCACATTTACTTTATACGTGGCACAGTTCTGACCACTTCACACATATTTACACATTAAGTCCTCATATCCAGTCCTCGGCTAGATAAGTACTGTCATTATCTTTGTTTTTCGGATAAAGAAAACTAGATGTGGAGAGATGTGCCGTAATCAATATTTGAGGATCAAATGAATGAATGGTCCGAGTCCCACCATGCTTCAAGTCTCATAAATAAAAGCAAAGCTACAACCATGAAGGACCA